CAACTGTTCGTTGAAAAATTATGACCAGACCTTAACGATTCGATACAGCAAAACTTTGGAAGTGCAAGAAAATTTTTTGGGAACTAGAGGTTGATTGCACATCGATCTAGTGGGGACTGATTAAATTCTTGGAGGACAACAAAACTTTTCAACTTTTGCCTGAACTTCAAAAACCACGTTCATTGTTTCTCGGTCCGTGCATTACGCATCACGACGATGAAAAGATTATGCACACAGCTACCTACAAGTAAATGTTAATGTTTAGGCATACACACTTGGTGCATCAGTTATTTACGTCCCTTTATGTTACCCTATGATGACATGGTTGCCTACCCAGGGAATCCTTTAAAAGTCTGCTTCTAGATTCAATTCTAGAGTTTCGGGAAAGCACGTGAAGAAAATATGCAAAGTAAATTACGGTTAGTTTGCACAATACCCCTGTTTCTATGCAACTCAATCAATTTAACATTAATTGCTTAAATTTTAAATTGCAAAACAAACTTTACCAAATGGTACCATTCATGTCACTAAATAGGCCAGCTTCGGGTCTATCACGGCAATATTAGGGAATTTTCGTGACGCCAGGTTACTGTAAAACACACCGCTAAAATAAAAAATGATTGAAAGTTAATTTAAGGGGATCATTTAATTGTGTCTTCAAATGTATGTTGCGTTAAAATGTTTCGAGTCAGCTGCATTATTTCCTAAGGACTAAACCTTCTCTAAGCGCTTTTAAGATAAGCATTCAAAATTCCGCCTATTTGCATTATTTTCTTGATGTACTTCCGCTACGCTACCGTGGCAACAAGTGATAATGGTTCTACTTTTTGGGTTGAAAACCGTTTCCAACATGATTTCTGTTGATGATTTAATGCAACTCCCCTCTTGTATTATGCTTTCCATTAGCAGATTCATGGAAAGTGTCCATTAAACTTGCTGATACTACGATCAGCAAGCTTACTCTTGAGACTGAACCAGTCACTATGAGGTCTGGGCTGGGAACAAGGCCGTAACCTCCACTGAAAGCAAATTCTTTACTTTGAGTTGAACATTAATTGGCTGTAAGTTTTGCTAGACGGCATCATACAAATGATGGCTATTTAAGGCGTCACTTTCATATTGTTCTGAAAGACCAGACTGATTATTTGCTGATGAAGTGCATGCTATCTTCAACTTCTTCAAAGGAACGGATGGTAAGCCTCCGACATTTGTTATTAGTGCATGCGCAGGCTAAACATAGCGGATGTTTGGTCATGCCATTGGAGCATTGCTGTCCCAAACTCCTGCATTATAAGGCACCGAATCAACTGAACACACTGCCTTCGCTTCGTAGGATAGACACAACTCTGGCGAGTAACACAGCATATCCTTTGGATCACGACCAGTTGTATGCAAATCGAGCATCCGTTCATGCTGAAGCTTGACACTTCGTTTAGCGTTAGTCAGTGATTCCGGTTCAAAAATTACGCACAGATAAGTGCATTGCGTTACTTTGCCTATTAGTGTGCCTCCTAGATGCATGCGATGACGTCCATAAGAAACAGGAAGTGCGAATGCGTTGCACCTATTATATTTATCAATTGATGAACCATCCATCAAACCATCTATATTTGCCACCCACAATGTTACTTAGGCCCTTTCATTTGTGGATCCGTTTGGGGTTAGTTGAAGGACTGCAGAGTTGTGATAAACAAAACTTGATTTTCCAGGACTTTAGGTAGGGGTTCAGTAGAAATAAAACGTGTTGAAATATCACGGTCAAATGCTTGGACAGTCTTTCATTTCAAATTCTTTTATACTGCGCCGCAAAGGTATTTTTAAATGGTAAATCACAAGTACTCGCTGCCTATATCCTTAGTTGAGTCCCAAACGTTTAACTTCAAGATTAGACTTTCATGTTGTAAAGCAAAGTTTCCTGACCAAAAATAACAAAAGAGTAAGTCGAAGTAAGAAATTTTACAAGAACCTATAATTCATGGAGGGCCCTAAAGGGGCTATAAAACCTGCACACATTCCATTCATTCTTCATTTGTAAAATGAAATTGCATATTCAGTCGGAAACCAATTCAGTGGAATAAGTAAAGGGCAAATGGTGTTTGGGCCAAAGTGTTGGCTAATACACAGCTGGGTGCCTTCAAAAAGGGTGTTTTAAATAATTTAATCAAAGATGAAGTTATGTGGGCAACTTGAATGGGTAAATAATTGCACTTTCTATTTCTCCATTTTAAAATCAAACAGTTTAATCATTTAGAAGTTGTCTTGAGTGTTGACGAGTGGAAGTGATTAATGAATTACAAGGTATTGTTGGAGGGAAAAAGGAAAAGGACGAAAACGATTAATGCATTGTACTGCCACACGTTTTGGCTCGTGTATACCACAAGATGAAATCGCGCCTTTGAATGCGAGATAACTCATTACAGTGCAAAATCTCTGTCGAGCATAACCAACGGTGCAGATGATGCAAATGCTGATTGCAACGGTAAATTAACTAGACGGTCTAGCATGCTAATGTTAATGAGTTGCTAAACACGGAGTCTTGACATAACTCTTAAGGCTTTGCAGTTTCCCGCTCTCAAGAGGACTTTACTGTGTCGGTGTCTTTGAACGTAGTGAGCTATCGTGCAATTTTTGTCATTCATAATTGTTTTCGATGCGAAGACCATTGGAAGACGAAAGACTCCTAGACCTAAGGAAGCTGATACATGAAACGGTGCCAACGTTAGGTGGGGAAGCATTAGTAGCTACTAAAAAGCATAGTTAACACGGCGCCACTGTCATCGCAGTGCCAGCGATCTTACCATCAAACTGCCTTCCATCACATGTTGTTCGCTTTTTGAACCCTCAAGGACGAGTTTCTCAGCAGAAGTGAGAATGGACAAATCACTCCACCGTTTAATGGAGTGTGTATTCTAATTTTGCTCCTTTACTTCCAATGAATTCTGCATTCTCTGGCCAAAAGTATTTGAAACGAGCAGTGTTGTTTCAATGTGATTATTTGGTACCGTAAAGCCACTGAAGCAAATTCAAGACGGAATAGTTTGCTACCTTCAAAATACTTTACTAAGAAGGCTTGATTTCATCAAAATGCGAAAATACTATTTTTTGCTGTCTTGAAAGAGTCAAAGCACTTTATTGACCAAAAGGAGGGCAGTTAAAGGTAAGCATTTAGAGGATATTAAGGGGCGAAAGTTGATGGGTTTCAACCAACTTTGGATTTGTGATTTTTAATGCAGGTGTAGTTAAAGGGTGAATTTGGTAATGCAGAAATGCAAAATTGTACTAGTTTGACCACCCCAAAAGTGGAAGAATGAAGTCGACGATATGCAGTTGGAGTTAGTCAAGTCCATTCACCACTTTGAATCATACAGTTAAGTGTAAGAGTGCCGGAACTTTATTTGATAGAATAAAAAGAAAGTGATTTTGTCCATCAGCAAAGATCAGCTAAGCAGACTGCCAAATTTGTTAGTTCTGAAGAATCACGCACAAGTATTTGCGGGACTTATGAATGGTGGCTTCTGTGTGGCCCCTTCCCGAATATAAATGCATCAGTTCGAGAGCTCTCAGTTTCACAGGGCTTGAAAAATCCCACCTCATAAACTGAATTTATTTAATGCTCAAGCACTAGTAGACTCTACGGTCTCTGGAGTCGTGTAACTTTTGCTAGACATGATGCAACTACACTCGTAAAAATTTTGACATTACCAACACAGATAAGGCGAATTAACAAAGTGCAGACACATTCAAATTTCGCTTAGTGTTGTGATTCCACACAACGCTAAAAATTAAAGCTTCTTGCTTAATTTTAAATTACAAAGTCAAAACAAGTTTTGATTTAGACTGTTTTCGTTACAATTTCAGTACCGCCAGGACTGTTGTCCTACTGTAGGTCAACTTTTGTGACCAGCATTAAGATATTGGGATCGCAAAGCAACGTCTTGAGAAAAGAAAATTCAAAATGCATTAGGGTATTTATGCATGTAAGATACAGTAGGAGATCACAAGTAAGCATGGCTGATGTTCTCGCTCGCAGCCTCTTGGCAATTTGAGATACGTAACCAAATTGAGCCGCTACCGCTCGACATCACCATTTCTTTGTATTTAAGCTGCGTCAACTGTTTAACAAGCCCTCAAGTGTGGATTTTCTTGTCTGGAAATGCCAAAAACCTCCTAAACTATTTCGCACCATCGAAGAGAGTAAAATTATCCCCATGAAGCAGTTTAGCTTTGATTACTAAAAGTTATTTGCTATTGTTTGAAGTCCTCCAAAGCGATTGCTACTAAAATCCATGATTACGCACCTCGCCTAGTCAACTAAACACTTCTGAACCACTGCTTTAATTTGGGCATTGCCTCCCTCACTGGACGCACAATGGAAAACCTCGCACATTTTCAGCACCACAAAGAACTTTCTCATGCAAGCATTTAATTAAACCTGATGAAGAGGAACTTTAGTCTTTAAGATTTCAACATGGCCGGTAAAACATGCCAGCGCATCAGTAAACGATAGTAAACATGTAAAAGCGCGATTCGATTTAGCTCAACATTGGGGTGAATAGGTTGAAACAGAAAGGCAATGGGAAACGCTGTAGCTGATCAAGACAAAAGGGTAACTGATGCTACTTGAGAATGTCTGTTGTCTAAAAAGCCAAACAATCCAGATGCGATTTTCCGTTCATCATCTGAATTTAAAAGACCTACCCAACCCTAAGCATGAATTATGGAACATTTCTTTAGACACGAGCCTTTTTTGGAGAAGACTATCCTTATGTGAACGAACGAAGGTTAAGTTTTTTGTTCCATAAGTTTAAAAAACAGAGGCATGAATAAAGATTGTGCTGCAAGGTAGAGTGAAATTTGAAAACCTTTGTAAGATCGACTTGCTCCTTTTACAACCTCATTGATCCACGCAATTCGAACGCAAAATCCTCTTGAAACACAATGCAGTAGTTTTAACGCGGAGGCACCGATACAGCTGTTGTAAAACCAGCAAGACACTGAGAATGCCACAAAAGAAAAAAGAAAATAAATATGACAACATTGCCGTCTCGTTGTCGAATGAGGTGAGCTCCATGCAGGCAAAAATGAATGGTCTAAAACTTCAAGCGTTAATCGACACAACTGTGAAGAGTAACCTCAAGGCGGATAAACATGAATCCAAGAGGCTCATTCATCAATTGAAGGAACACATCACACTTAATAAAAATGAGGCAAAACTCGCCACCGCTTGCGTCAACACTCAGTACAAACTGTTGCAGCGCCTCTTTATGCTTCGCATACACGAGTCAAAGGAAGTCATAGCTCGACTAAGGAGGGAGAATTTTGACTTAAAAGCAGAATACAATAAGGTGATCTCAGCAAAAGATGAGTTAATCAATGAAAAGGATGAGCAAATCGCCAAACTAGAGTCTCATTTACAGTCGCTGCATTTCCAACTAGAACGTGTGGTACTGGAGATGGCGGAAAAGTTGGAGACTAGATTGGAAAAGGACAGACTAGTATGGGAGAAAGAAGCGTATGCTTTCCATGAATCTTCTGTCAAGATTTTGCAAAAATTAGGCTATGGGACTACATTCATGTGACGTAGCTATCACTACATAATCAACCAAATTTCATAGAGCGGAATAATTACATTTGTGAATCACTTAAAAGTGGCACTTATGTACTTATGGGAGGTTGATGGAGAAGCTTTTGTGCTCTGCTATTCTAAATAATTTGACCGAATAAAATTAGCCACAAATGAAACAGAGAGTAATTTGGCGAAAATTTTGCTCCTGGCGTCTACCTTCGGCTTCGTGTCCTTTATTTGGAAAAATGAGCTGCCTAGGAAGTAAGTTTATTGCTTGCAAAGGGATTAAAATGCATTTTTAAAAAGATTGTGACTTGCAATTACGTCGGAAAATGAGATCGCCCGTTGGTTTGAAGCTACGATCAAGTGCGTGTATTAATGAAGCGTTTCTCAAGTTACTTCGATCGCCAGCCGGTGTTGCAGTTTATAGGCGGAAACAATTTGGGAAGACAGTCTGAAGCACATAAAATGACTGCTGTTGGCCTCAAAACGGCTTTCTGAACCAAGTATCCAAAACTGTAATTCACTTTGACAAAACGAACAATAGGGTAGAGAAGGCGCACGAAACAGATCCTTAAACAAAATAGTATGAGTTGCACAATGGGTACATTCCACCGATGTGTCGAAAAGCAAGCTAGTCTTACGTGGGTTTCATTTTCCTCACTCTAGGTTAAAAACTAACAATTTTTGCAAGTAAACACTTCTAGCTTCAATCTGAAAATGTCAGGCAGCAAACTAACTTCACTAACAACTTGTTCAATGCAAAAATAGCACAAAGGGTGTAGATGTCACCTTCATTCCCGCATTTAGATCTCGGGTGATAAGGCTTGTACACAACACCTTTATAAAGTGAAGCTCGATACCAAATACAAATTGTGATGATGGTGATAATAATGATGGTGAGTTTTGATTAATTTGCATTGCCACATGTTTAGTGGTGGGTTATTGTGCAGCTTTGCCTTCACACTTCTACCAATGATTTGACTGATGGTCCGTCATTGCTGCTTTTAAGGTAGGACTTGCTTGAGACCGATGTAGTGTAGTGTAGTTGTTGGCTAAATAAAACCTAAACATTTGGGCTTCCTCTAAGAGGAGGAGCAACTGATATCTCGTCATTAGATGGCACTTTGAAATGTGTGACTGTTTGGTGCTCAAACTGTAGCACTTCGGGAGGCCATGCGTTGAGGCAATCGAAGTCGCTCCATTCACGTAAGATCTGAGTGCGTTGCTCTAATAAGATGCAAAAAGCGAGGGGTTAGAGTTGAACGAGGAGGAAGTTGCTATGGTGCGAGTGTTAGATTTTATTATCGGAATAGCGCTTTCACACCAAACATTGATGCATTGTCCCTCAGACCTGCCCACATTCACCTGACACGGAATTCCTGAGGCAAAGGCACTGTCCATGCAAATGTTGAAGCTGTGCTGAATGACGGTCGTGGACACGTGTGGTTTTCTACTATTTCGTATTTCTTAAACTTCTCATACCTTTTATTCTCATGGACTGACAAATCCTAAATTCGATGAGGTAATTTCCGAATTCGAGTATCGTCGAGTTTTAAGCCTAATCATACGTTTGTTGAAGTTTTTAATTTAAGTTGCGAAACTCTGTTTTTGTCTACCAGAGACTGGTATTATGTGTTCTACAGCAAAAAACTTCTTAGATAGGCCAACTTGCTGATCATCTTAAACCAAATTTTGCTGCAAAAAAGTTGTCACCTTTGTCTTAAGCGTTTCCAAAGCCTTAATTGCTTTGTTCATAAATAGTTCTCAAGGGGTTTGCATGCTTCGTGATGCGGAAAATAGCATACACTTTTCTGTTGTTTTGTCTGACGAAATAAGATGAATTCATTCTGTGCTATTTATAAGCGTGTCTGTCACTTCTTGACCTTAGTCCTGTCCATAATTCATGATGTCACTTCAGCAAATACGTTATGACGAGCTCTTTTAGAGCACTCTTCTTTTTAAACAAGAAATGTCCTAGTTTCTTGTGTCATTAGTGATTAGAGATCCAAAAATCTGACAATTTTCGCAATTTGGTGGCTCCTTACACTAATGGTGTGCGAAACGTCTCTGTACAATGATGATGCTCGAGATTGTGGAGGCTGAAGGGCTCATGAAGAAGCGAGGCAAATCTCAAAGAGTACCATATGCATCTGATATTTTGCATTTCAACGTTGGAATTTGTATTCATCGTTTCATTTGGAGCACAAAGTAACAACGACAAAATTAGTCCAGTAGATACAAGGCAAGGCATTGTGTGCTTCAGAAGTGGTGAAGATGGATATATATATACGCGTGTCTTGAGAGTGGTTGCTGGGGCTGAGTAACCGGATCCGATGGGACATTGCAAACTGTGGTGGCCAGTGAATGAATTACGTGCCATAAAAAGAACACGCCATGTAAATGTGTCATTCCAAAACCAGCCCTTCAAGTGGCGGATGCACCGCCAATAATTCCTAAAGAGGAAGAAATCGTTGAATGCAAATGCAAATGGCCAAATAAATTCACAAATGTCAGTCAAAGCACTTCGGTGGGTCCTTCCATGGAGGTAAATCAGTGAAGACCCACGTCCTCGCAACGGCCAAGTGATAAGGTCACGCTGAAAACAAGTCCTTACGTGCTTAAACAGTGACTTAAGCCGTTAGAAGAGGTTAACGCTTTTATCTACGAATGATGCAATTCATTTTACCCATTGTCCGTTTGGAAAAAATAATCCAAATATGAAGTTATTATAAAATCTCGGTTACAGGAGTCCCTACAATGCTAAAGTCATCAATGTACTTTTTTGTTTCTGGGTTTACTTGATATTGACGCAATTTTAATTGCACTGAGTGTTGCCTGCATTTTCGTCCACTTCGATAGCCTTAGCAATGCACATCACTGCAGCAACCATTCACACTCATGATAGGCACATTTTAACCACAACCCAGACAAGTGACGGAGCTAAGCACTTTGGTGCGCTTCCACTTTGCGTTTACCATCGCCTTTCCACACAAATTTAGGACTTTCAATTATCACTGTCTTCATATGACTTGATTTCTAAAGCTCCAACTTAAAGTGAGGTCTAAACACTGGCTTACACAATAAAACCTAAAAATTATTGATGACAATATTTGCCGGTTTCCTCTTCTCAAGTGATATGAAGGACTATTCATGTCCTGCTTAATGCAATCAAGAAAACCAAAGTAAACTTCCGAAGTATTTATGCGAATAAACTTGCCACTTTTCTCCTTGTTTTGAAACCATGTACTCAATTTAATTTTTCCACAAAATTATGGCTTTAAATAAAAGCTTTTGTCGTGTAGGCCTATTTTTGCCGAATACCTTAAAAGCCCATCGATATTTTTTGCCGTAGCTGTTGTGTCTGGCAATGAAATGCCATGGGTAGTGGACAGTTATTAGTGAAAAGAAATTCCCAGTATGGGAATTAGAATTACGTAAACAAAGCGAAGGCAATCGCCCCAAGAACTGTGACACTCCTTATTGTTACTTACTCCAACAGTCCGGTTTGGACTCCTCTATGAAACCGCCAAGGAAGGACCACACGATGTAGCATGTCTACACACGTTGTATTTATTTATACCATTTACACTCTGCTTGAGTTACTTAAGAAGAAAATGCTGCTAAGATAAAGTTCAGGCTCTATCTTCCCTTGCGTTAGTTTTATTACGAACATGAATGAGAGCATGTGGTAAGGATCGGCTACCAAGAAGTGAGAAAGAACAGAAGGTATGGAAGAACTTGGTCGAGTTGGCTTTCAAAGATAAGCGGAACACAGCAATTAAGCATGGAGAAAGAGGAGTGTGGAGGTTGATAGAACTTTTCTATAGGCATTAATTATTAGGCGGATGCAGTGATGTGCCTCTGTCTGAGCATGGACACTCATTCTCTACAAAGGTAGGCGAATGAAAAGATCCACTTTGCAAAATAAAAACAAAAAGAGCAATTTTATCAAAGTCCTTTTAATTGATAGGCGAATTGTTTCATAGCTTTTGAAAATACAAATAAGCGCGACTGAGAAGGCCAAGTTCTGCTCCCGTCCAAATTCCATTAACTGTTCCATCAGCTAATCTCAGAACTGGAAACATCGCTGACAGGAGCAATTTTACGTTGCCATATCCTTTAATAATACGGATTAATCATGTCCACATTTTTCATAAATACTTAGTTTTATAAGATACTACATTTAAATCCACCCAATATTAAGCTCATTTCAGAAAAAAATAATGAGGATTTTGAAGCAAGTAAACATAAATTCTTAGAATACTACACTGTTTGGGTTTTGTTTTTGCACAAAATAAATTTCACCTCATGTGTCGGTTTCGATCTAGTGCGAAAGTTTTGCTAGCAAAGTGCGGCAAATGCGCCCAGTACCATGAAGCGCTGATGTCATGCAATTTAATAATACAGCTTAGGCATTCATCAATTGGAGGTCACATTACATGCAACCACGGGTCCGCTAAATGGGTGGACTCCAAGTGTGGCGGGAAGAGCAGTCCTATGCACTGCAGGGCAGTAACTTACGGCCACTTCCTCGTGCCTTAGTTTGATTTCTTTAACATTAAGAGACGCCACCCTTTTAGTCTCTTCAATCAGGAACATAAAAGCCATTCCAAGGCAATCGTCCTCTCGACCCTCCCAATGTGAATGCACCCAGCTTTAGACCAAGACAGGTCATTGCGACTTTGGGGTCACTTC